CATGGTACAGGAGACGGTTGGCTTTGGAAATCCATCTTTCTGACATCCTTCCAGCTGAAGAATATTCTGTGTGGGACTCTGAGCTCCCTTCCTTCCCAGAGAGATTAAGCCCTGGACATTTCACCATATGAGGCCTGGGGATGGAAAATACCATAAACAGAAACCCATTCATTTATTTCCATTGGCTATTTTACTGGATGGCTGTTACTGGATATTTTACAGGTTGAAAGTAAACTGAATGACAATAAAAAATGAAAAAGATTCAAAATTCATCAGTGTGGTTCTGGAGTTAATTAAGGTCTACTGAGGTATATGTAAGAATATAATTATTTATTTACATAATTAAAGTAAAGTGGGTTATTATGGTTTCTGGTAAAAACTTATCAAGTCATTCCTGGAAGTCAACTGCTAAGGTCTCTGGCTAGTTTCACTTACTGGAACTTGAGAATTAAGGCATCAATTTCTAAGGGGGGCCTAAAGGAAGACTGCTATGCTGGGTCACTGTATTAGGACAAACATATTAGGTGTGGCCAGACCCTCTGGATCCAGCGGTGAACAGAGCTGAACAGAGAAGTCTTTGCTGAAGGTGGAGGTACTGACTACCTCTAACCACGGGTATCTTCATGGATCTAAATCACAAGGGCTCCAAGAAGAGTCCATTAACTTATAATAGATGCAAAACTCCTCTCAACTGAGGCCAGTATTCTAGGGCTAAAGATGACAAAGGAACCATACTTCAATCCTGTCCTCCTGGATCACTGCATAGCAAAACTAGGACTAAAGACTCCTCTTAATTTTTTAAAGAGGGTGCAGAGAATAGGAGGGAGGTGGGAGAACAGGAGGGAATGTGGAGGCATATTAATAAACAAGAAGAATAAAATAAAACCTACGTTCATTTATAGTCCGTGTATAGTCTTGGTTCTAACGCTACTTCCTTTATGAAGTCTTCCTGAGGCACCAAGCAAGTATCAGGTTCACCTTGTCCTCTGCTCCCCCAGGACTGTGTAGTGACCACCTTTACTGACTCCGGTGTAAACTCAGCGTCTCCCCACTTGACTGTGAGCTTCCTAGGGGCAGCACAGCTCCCTTTCAGCTAGTTTTCAGCACTGCGCTTCGGCTCTAACAGGTGCAGGATGGATTTGTGCAACACTTAAGCACTTCTGGCCGCTGCCTGGGATTCTCCCAATATTCCTCACTTCATCAGAAACCCACAGTCCAGAGCAGGCGGAGAACACCCACACAGTCCGGATCGCACTACGACCCCCAGCTACACGCAAACTGCAGCGCGCCTTTTTTGCGGCAGTTTAAGGTACGTTAGGGTTCACGGCGTTGCATTGTGGGAAGTGTAGGTGCGGGAAAGCGGAAGGGCCGGGGCGAGCGGAGTCTTCGCTTCCTGCACCGGGGCGCTAGGGCTTGGGTGGAGGGGTGGTGAAGTCAGGGGTGTCGCAGTGGACTTCTCCGCGTTCTTCCTCCGCACCCCCCCCCCGCCGCCCTCCCCGCCGAGGCCGTAGAGCTGATCGGTGGCGGGCGGCAGCGCCCTGGGAGGCGTGGCAAGTGGCGCGCAGGCCTCGGCGCAGGCCGGCTGCACCATGGTCCAGCTCAGTGAGTGCTCTTCCGGGCGGTCGCGAGAGACGGTGGGGGGGCGTGTGGGACCCGATGAAGCAGCTCTCCTAGGCGAGCTGGAGGCAACCCGAACCTGAAACAACCACACTGCCTTACGTTTGTCCCTCTCCTCAGGTTTTTCTCACTTAATCCTTCCTCAATTTATGAGACAAATGGCATTCGGTTTATAGACTAGGCAGCTGAGGCTCGGTCGTGGTCACAGAGGTATTAAATGGCAGGCTGGTGTTGAGCGGATTGAGGAGGTAGTCATTTCTGGCTGAAGTGCATGAGAGGAGTTTCGCGAAGAATATACTATCTAAACCGGGTTGACAGTGATTGATTGGATGTAAGGATGTTTCAGTTGAGGAAGGGGCTTGTTTTATGTACCTCATTTTACCCATTTTATGTACTCGGTTCTTGTGTGTTAACTTATTTCTCTACAGCTACTGTCCTGTGCAAAGCCTACCGCGGAGGCCATTTAACCATCCGCCTTGCCCTGAGTGGCTGTACCAACCGGCCTTTCTACCGCATTGTGGCTGCTCACAACAAGTGTCCCAGGGATGGCCGTTTCGTGGAGCAGCTGGGCTCCTATGATCCACTGCCCAACAGTCACGGAGAGAAAATCGTTGCTCTCAACCTAGACCGGATCCGGCATTGGATCGGCTGTGGGGCCCACCTCTCTAAGCCTGTGGAGAAGCTTCTGGGTAACTCAGCTCTAGCCTTACTTCATTGAGGGGATTTTAAGGTGAAGTCAGTTTCAGGATGATAAGAGTTAAGAATGATTTTCATTACCTTAGGCTGCTCAGGGCTAGAGTGAAAGCTGAAGTTGTGATCTAATTGTCATTTTGACTGGAGACCCCTATTGTGGACTCTTTTATGAGACTTTATGGGTGAATGGGATTTTGTACTGAAAATAGGAATAGTGTGTCTTGAATGGCTATCTGTCCATTTATCTTTCTTTTTTTTTTAAGATTTTATTTATTTATTTGACAGAGACAGAGCGAGAGAGGGAACACAAGCAGGGGGAGTGGGAGAGGGAGAAGCAGGCTTCCCGCTGAGCAGGGAGCCCGACGTGGGGCTCGATCCCAGGACCCTGGGATCATAACCTGAGCCGAAGGCAGATGCTTAACGACTGAGCCACCCAGTCGCCCCTATCTTTTTTTCAAATAAGGGCATTAGCTTTAGGAAGTAACGTCCATTATCTCCTTGTAGTAAATGAAGGGGAGGGAGTTAGGGGAAGAGATATGACAGTTTGGTGAAAGAGGAGAATGTTTTAAATCCATGCTTTAAGTTAGGTCTCTGTTAGACCTCAGCTCTGTGAGGCTAAGTTCCCAGGGAAACATTGGCTTATACCATGTTATAATGAATGAAAATCCTGTTGCTTTTAGGTCTTTCTGGCTTTTTCCCTCTGCATCCCATGATGATCACAAATGCTGAGAGGCTGCGAAGGAAACGGGCACGCGAAGTCCTCTTAGCATCTCAGAAAACAGATACAGAGGCTACAGAAACAAAAATGAGCTGACTTCAGTGAGCAGAGCATTGGGGGAAAGGTCAACACTTAAAACACTTGTTCAGAGCTCTTAGTTTTATTAGATTTGGAGGTTAATAAATAGAGTTTCCTGAGTCACCCATGCTCTTCTGGCCTGTCCTGAACTGGACTCAGGGAGAAATTTGTTCTTTCTGATGTAGAGCTGGGTCTAGGTACTGATTAGCTTTTTTAGCCTTCATCTGGAAAAGACAGTAGCTCTGGGGTGTGTTGGATTTTGGGTTGGGCCCTGGATCTCTCAGACAACTTTACAGTCTGCTGCCTTCCAATACTTCCCTGTTTGAAAGCCCCCAGCAAGTCTATCCATGGTCCATCTGTGAAGTTCCTTCCTTAATCATCCCACTAGCTCAAGAACACAGTTACTTTGCTTTGCTTGCTTGCTTGCTTATGTATGTATATATGTCATTGTAGAGTTACTTTCTCTTGTTTGACCCATAATATCAAATTTACAAAGGTAGGTTTTTTTAATGAACTTTTAGGCTATAATAGCATACTTTTTAAGAATGAGAAACTGGAAGAAAGGTCATACTGAAGAGTACGTTCATACATTCTTGACCCTTTACAAGTAAGGCTATTCGTGAGGATTATTAGGTGTCATGAAAGTGGGTAAAACTCCATTTTATTGATGGGAGGCTGAGGTTCAGATGTGGAAACTTGCCCAACGCCATCTGTTTTCATTTGGGCAGAGCTAAGATTCAGACCCCAATATGCATACCTGGAGAGCCCTTTCCATTGTCTGCGGCAGGGTGGGTGTGAGATGAGCAAAGATGAGGAGCTTTTCAGAAGTCCACTTAAAAAGCCAGTGATAGAAATGAGGTTTAGGTGTCATAAGTTTGGTAATATAAATGACTGACTGTGCCCCAAGTCCAATATGTCATATCTGCCTCACCAGAACTGCAGGACAAAAACAATCATGATCAGAGGATTTTAGTGCACACTCTGGGTAATACAATTTCAAATCTGGCATAAGACTAGGATATAGAGTTTATAGAGGGACACTAAAGCCCTATCAGTGTACCAACTTACTTTGTTTTCTGGGTTTTATATATTGAGAACAACCCTCATTATGGGGTCAAGTCTCTCCCAAGGTTGTCACTGGTTGGCCTCCCTTGCTTTGAGGGGATTTTGAAGGCAGGGCAGGCTGAGAAGAACTGACTACCTGGATTAGATTGTGGATCTGATCATGGGTCTGGGAAAGAAAAATGCTATGAAAACCATGGGAACTCTGGAAGTTAAAGATGATAATATACTCTGGAGAGTTTAAGGTCTTTGGATAAGCTTTAATTGGTAGAGCAAAGAAGAATGATTATGAAAAGTATTGACCAGTAAAGGGAACTGCTGGGAAATGGGTTAAGGTAAGGTATTATTTTGAGCTATTGAGTTTCTGCCAACTTAAGTATTCACTTTGTTCCCTTGTCTATCCGTACTCTGTGATCTGTATACACATGCTTCCTGTGTGAGTGCATATCCTTTTCCTGATAATCCAGTTTTCTCTAGCTCTAGCCTTGCTCTAGATTTCCTGACACAGTTTCTCACCATCTCTTAGTTGATAGCATTAGTTTATGTTGCTATCTCAAATCCAACATGCTCAAACCTAGCTCTTCATTAAAAAAAAAAAAAAGCCTTTGCTTCAGCAGCTTTATTTTTACTCAGATGAGGGTTTGGGCCATGTCATCTTAACCAAAGTGAAAGGTGATTAAGAACTGGAAGATGATTGGGAATGATTCTGTAATAAATGTTACAGTTTTTAAAAGATCAGTATTTTGCGCCTTTGTTTACGCTTTTTTTTGCAGGAATTAGGAAAGTACTTACCTAGGAGTCCCAACCTGTAGGTTGCAAAATTATCGGATCTTAGAGTTTTGTGTACTCTTGTCAGGATCATTGAAAAAGAACAAATCTATTTAACGATGTTGAACCATGTGAAATCGCCAAATGCCGATGTTATGCTGTTTTTTACTTTTAAAAAAAGGCAAAACAGCAATGTATAGCCTCGACGTAATATAGACCTGACATATATTGAATGAACTTATGCACTGGGAAACTGGTGAGAAGATAAGTGCCAGATTTTTTGAGTAAGGGGAGGAGGGCGTCGTGGCACCGGATCCCCCGCTAACCACACAGAAGGAAGTTCTCGCGGTTGCTCGGGTCTCCGCTTAAGTTCTGGCCACGCCCTCGTTTTGCAGCCGCCGTAAAGTGCGACGTCATGGCCACGCCTATTCGGCGCTTCTTGTGACGCAGTCGCCCGGGGTATTTTTGCGCGGGAAAAGGGGGCAGTCTGGAGCTCTAGCCGGTGTCGCTGGGACGGGCAGTTTCTGCGGGGGTTGCCTCTCGCTCCCTATCCCTGCTGGCTATGGGGTTGCTGGAGCTGTGCGAGGAAGTGTTCGGTACCGCCGACCTTTACCGAGTGTTGGGCGTGCGGCGCGAGGCCTCGGACGGCGAGGTCCGACGCGGCTACCACAAGGTGTCTCTGCGGGTGCACCCGGACCGGGTCGGCGACGACGACAAAGAGGACGCCACCCGCCGCTTCCAGGTACGCGAGCACCAGCTCCACTGGCCGCCTGGGTTTCTCTCGATCATCTGGCCGCCAGGCCCCGCCTAGGCCGAGTGCGCCGAACCTGGCCTGGTGTTTTCTAATCTTTATTTCTTGCAGCGCGGTTTCAGTGAGGGATGCAAAGGTGACTTTTGGATGCTTTTAACCCGCAGATCCTCGGGAAAGTCTATTCTGTTTTGAGCGACAAAGAACAGAGAGCATTGTACGATGAGCAGGGAACAGTGGACGAAGATTCTGATGTGCTCAACCAAGATCGGGACTGGGAGACGTATTGGAGGTTACTTTTTAAAAAGGTAGAGGACTCTGGAAATTTCTTTGTGATTATTCCCGTTATTCATTCAAGAAACGTTTATTGAATGCCTTCAAGGTATTGCATTTTGTGTTGTGTAGGAATGAGGAATTTGTTCATCTTAAAATTGACATACGTGGAAGTATTCCTCGGTAGATAACCTACAGCTAGCTTTGAAGAAGAATAAGTCTGTTTAACCGTTAAACATACACACATACTTTTACTGAAATGGGTCTTTAATTTCCTGTTGATGTAAAACGATTGTAGGGGAAGAGGTGGTTTAATATTTTATAAGGTAATGCTTCATTTTACATATCCACCTGTAAGTCTTGAGTTCTTCTGGGAAACTTCCCTTAAATTTTCCAGGTCTGTAGTTTAGTAGTTGTGAAGGTTGGGAGAACGCTGGAAAAGCTTTGGCATAGAAAGTGTGGCTCCTTGCAGTAATTTCAACTCAAGCAACTATTGTATTTGGGAAGAAACATTTCAACACCTACATCTATCTTTACTAGTATACTTTTTATTTAAAATTTTCAGAGTTATAGCATATGTCTCTTATTCAGATATCTCTAGAAGACATTCAAGCTTTTGAAAAGACATACAAAGGTTCTGAAGAAGAGCTGGCGGATATTAAACAGGCCTATTTGGATTTCAAGGGTGACATAGATCAGATCATGGAGTCTGTGCTGTGTGTGCAGTACACAGAAGAACCCAGGATAAGGAATATTATTCAGCAAGCCATTGATGCTGGCGAGATCCCATCCTATAATGCCTTTGTCAAAGAATCGAAGCAAAAGATGAATGCAAGGAAAAGGAGGGTAAGATTTTGAATGCTTTTTTTATATCTTGCATTTTGAATACTTTTTTTGGTATCTTAATTGCTTCCAAAAAGAATGTGAGGGTATTTACAATAATAAAAATATGATTACCAAGAAGAGAGTAAGGGTTAACTCATTTCTTTTCTAATAAAATGAGCATACCAGCTCATTAAGAGAAACTTTTTTTCCCTATTATGTTGTGCTCAAGGATTTTGCTAGGTGGATTGTTTAATATCATCTTAAAATAACACTGAAATACTCTTTACGTGGGCCAGTTCTTTAGCTTTGTCAAGGCTTTCCTCAAGAAATAAAGTAATGGAGCCCAGATACATAGGGTGGACAGTGGTTCTCACTTGGTTAAGAGATGGGGAGAGGGTGACTAAAACTTTCTTTTTTTGGACTGTGCCTTGTTAATACAGATTTTCTTTTGTTCTTGTCCAGATTGATTCTTGAATTGGACCCAGAATACACATTTCTAAACAAATGGTTTAGTTTATTTTGGTGAAAGTGTCTTCCCAAACACACTTGGAGAGGAACACTTGTGAATAATCAAGAATTGTGGCTTCTGTATCTTATTAAACTGTGGAGTTGGTGAGGGTAGGGATGATGGCAGGGAAAAAGAGCTTAAGGACAGACAGCTGAAGGTCTGGGAGGGAGTGGATTCACAGCAAGCATCTGTTTCTCTGGTCTTTTGGGGAAGACCAGACTGGTACTCAAGTAACCATTGCCTCAACCTGGCTTTCCTAGTGGGCGCTCAGTGGAGAGCAGTGTAAGATTTTAGATGTCTGGTGGGTACCTGAGGTGGGTGCCTTATTTTCTATGGCTGAATTGGAGGTGGAGGTAGGTCTGCAGTTTTGATACAAGATACAGGGGAAAGCTGGGTGGGGTGGGGTGTGTGTGTGTGTGTGGCAAAGTGGAATGTGTATCAAGATGATCATTTTGAGGGTGTGCATGGCTGACTCAGTAGAGCATGTGACTCTTAATCTCAGGGTTATGAGTTAAAGCCCCACATTGGGCATGGAGCCTACTTTAAACAAAAAAGTCATTTTGGCTCATAGGGCACATCTGTTTAGGCCCACTCTTACAGTTTAAGTTGGTAATCATTTTCTCCAGTGAACTGAGCACAGCTGTATCCATTAATAGGCTATTAGCTTGAGAAACTTTCCTAGAGTTGGGGGCAGGTGGATGGCATAGTTTTTAGCGACTCTAGCAAACCTGGGGAGTGGGTATACAGTATTAAATTGAATACAAGGACTGAAAGTAGACAGTGGAAACACTTTTTATTGGAATAACAAAATTCTAATGTATTAGTATTCCCAGCATTAATAGTATTCATTGCTATTCAGAAAATTTAGTGGGGTTTGGGATCTATTATATAGTGTTGGTGCCCTGAAAGAAAGAACAAAGTCATTAACCTTTCCCAAGGTGTGCTTGTGGTATTTTGGAATCAGTGCCCTAGGAAAATTTGGCAGAAGAAGGTGGCTTTGAAATTAGGTAAAGAAAGGTTATAACTGAACTTGTTAGTGTTTATTCTGACTACTTGGGAATTTTATTTATTTTTTATTTATTTTTTAAGATTTTATTTATTTGCGTGAGAGAGAATGAGAGAGAGCATGAGAGGGAGGAGGGTCAGAGGGAGAAGCAGACTCCCTGCTGAGCAGGGAGCCCGATGTGGGACTCGATCCCGGGACTCCAGGATCATGACCTGAGCCGAAGGCAGTCGCTTAACCAACTGAGCCACCCGGGCGCCCTACTTGGGAATTTTAAACCAGGGTTACTCTCAAGGCTGCCACCAGTCACATGTAGTTAAAAAGTGGGTTTCCAGAGGAGAGGAATTTGAGATGCCTGTATCCTGGCAACAGTTTTGAAGGCATCCTTGGTTAAATGACCTTCCCTCTCCTAGCATTTTGTTTTCATTCTTATCACCATGTGGTTTATGAATACTAAACTACTTGCTACCCCTAGCTAGTAAAAATGGGGAAAACTCAGAAATGCTCATTGGAATCAGAGGATCTGCTGCATGCTCTCAGCAGTGTTGTCTTTTAATGAATGACATATTTATGTAATTGTGGTTTGTTGTTGTTTTTTTTAATCTATATAATCCTCAGATTGAAAGGTTCTTACCACAGATTTGCTTTTGGGAAAGGGTATATTTTTAGTATATGCTAGGTTGCCATGGAGTCTAACATGAGTTTCTGTTTTAGGCTCAGGAAGAGGCTAAAGAAGCAGAAATAAGCAGGAAGGAGTTGGGCCTTGACGAAGGAGTAAACTTGAAAGCAGTCATTCAGGTAAGCTTGGCAGGTTTTCTTTGAAGGTTGTCACTACTTCTTTTGTGTTCTGATTCCTACTGCTAATACTTTTTTATAGTGTATAGTGTTGTGGGTATTTTGTTTTCTTTTTTTAAGACATAAGTCATGTACTATGTTTTCATCCTTTTAAAGTGCATAATTTAGTGGCTTTTAGCATTTTCATGAGGTTGTAGAACAGCACTAATTCCAGAACATTTTTGTCACCTTAAAAAGAAACCCCTTGCTCATTAGCAGTCATTCCCTGTTCTCCCTTCCACCAGCCTCTGGCAGCCACTGAGTATTTTTGTCTCTGGATAGCCTTGTGTTTTGAAAGCTTGTGTTTTAACTTCTTAAACAGAGCAGACAAAAGGATCGGCAAAAAGAAATGGACAATTTTCTGGCTCAAATGGAAGCAAAGTACTGCAAACCTTCTAAACGAGGAGGGAAAAAAACGCCTCTCAAGAAAGAAAAGAAATAATGGAATTTTCTCTTCAAAAGACTTCAGGTGTTAATTGGTGCCATCGTAGGCAAGATACAGTCAAGATTTGAAGACAAAAGTCAACCCTGCCCTTGAAAAAAGTTGTCTTTCCAGGCTAAATTATTCAGCTCAACTCTGTAAACCAAGCAGAATCTCTCAACCTGATTTTAGTAGTCTTAGAAATCCCCTGACATTCTTTGAGGTCCTGCATGAAGGAATTTGGTGATTTTTGAGGGAATGGAGGAGAGTGGTATACTTCCTGGCAGTGCTTGCGTCTGTGGATCTTCTGTACAAGGAACTCTTATCTAGGAGGTGGGTCTGTCCCATACTGCCTTCAGCAGTTGTTGTTTTGCCACGCAGGAGTGTGTGCACAGCTATGGAGTATTCAGTGTTGTGTTTATTAGAACAGTAACTCTACCTAGCTAGAACGCTTTCAGAGCCCTTGCTGGACATGTGTCTTTCAAATATTTGCCAGTTTGCTTTCATTTTAATCTTGAATAGATCCTCTTTCCTTTTTGTTTTATTCAGCCAGGTTTTGTACTCTTTGCTTGAAATATAGGAGAAACAGATGTTGAGATTACTTCAGACATCTTTGTAAGACTCTCACATGATGAAATAAACAAGTTAAAAATGACTGTTAAGTTCTGGGGCCTTTTAAATGATCTCAGTGATCATTTAACGATGATCTAGAAAAACTATGAATGGTGTTCAGAGAAGAGAGAAAAGTAAACCAAGTCAGCTTTATAGTAGGTAGCCGGATTTAAGTAGCATAAAGAGAAGTTGTCCTACCTGTAACTGTTGAAAGTCTGTCCTTAAGCAGGTCGCAGACCTTGTTTGAACTTGTTGCCTCATCTATAAAAGGGTGAGGGAGTTGGGCTAAATGACTGCTTAAGGGCTCCTTCTGATTCTCTTAACTTTCGAAGGCAGGCCATCTTGATCCAATGGTTTGTTATCATGCACTCATGGTATTGATTTGTGAGAATGGTATAGAGATGTTTACTTACATTTAGTCAAATTGGTATGTACACATTGGAATATATGGACATTTTTTGGCAACTGATAAAAGTCTCTGAGTTATAGACTTTTATGCATATGGCATTGAATATATAACAACTTTCCTGTTACTGAGTTTTATGTATGATACTTTATCTGAGGTAAGCACATGACACATTTTTAGTTTGGTTACAAACAGGTTAAAAAATACTCCTTAATTGTATTAAAGTATAATTTAATGCAGGTTGTTTGAAGCATCTGTCTTCGTATGATAGCATTAGTACACTTAGATAAAATAAAAAAATTACCCCTATTTATAATTATTTGAGTTTATCCACTCTGAAGATTTACAGTAAATTAAAGTTCAATGAAATTTAAATAAAATAAATTGAAGCCATAGTTAAAACCACTGCTGCCTTTATGAATGTCCTCCAAAAAAGGTCCATAGTGAAATCAGAAGAATGCTGAAGTTCTATTCTTCTGCTATTAGGATATGTTTATACTAAACTAATTACCAGAGTTTCTGAAATGTTAAGGTATTGCTGGATCACTAATAGAGTCTATAAATTTTTTGTTTACTTAGAGTTTAAGGAGAAAATCTGGTAAGATGAGTTTAATAGTATATATATATTATATATATATATATATATATATGAATATATGACCACTAAGGTCTTTTAAGAAGAAAAGAAGCATAATCTTGATAGGAAGCAGGCCTTGTGAGGTTGAGCTGTCCTACCTGAAAATATATATACATTATGACTTACTAATAAGTTACTTTATACCAGTGCTCCACATTTATGTCTTTAGTTTCTTAGCCCTTCCATATCTCTTTGCCTATAAGATTGGGCATCTAAAGAGAAAGTTAGGAATGACATCTGTTTGATGAGTAACTCAGATTTTTGACAGCTCTGTCTCCTAAACATGCCTTAAAAATGAGTACAACTCTCCAGAAATTCATACAAGCAGAAGTATTCTAAAGCCAGTGATAATGTTATCAAACAATTATTTGCTGCTTTTTGTGTATGTATAGTCTCATAGAATCCTGTAATAGTTGAGCTGATCATTGTTAACAGACAACATGAGTTTGGGGGATAATTATTCATTTGTTACATCTTTGGGTACAAATTTTAAGTCCAATGGAATAGGTTAACTTATGCTGAAAGAAGATAGGAACTGGAGAGGGAAACAGTATCCATGTAATCTTTGGCGGATCCTCTTTTTTTCTCAGTTATATCAGATTAACACTTCATGAAGATGGTTTTAAGTTGTCTCTTGTATACAAGCTTTACGTCACAAGATGACTGAACACTGACCATGAATTTTTCTCACGTGTTGCCTGCAGCCTGAAGCAGGTTCTTCTCATTTGCCCTATGGTGCCTGCCTGGTTCTAGAGACTGGTCCACCTCTGTTTTGAGATTTTGTAGACCCATGTAAGTGAGGACCTGTCAGACAAAGGTGACATCATAGAGTAACATTAGTAGACATTCTAGATTTGGTAATCTCAAGTTCATATCTAAGGGCTTTTTTGTTCCAGTTATCAGTCGGACTTAAATTTGGAGACTGGGACTAAGTAGTAAAGTATATATTCATCAAGGCAATAAAAACCACATTTGCATTATTTAATCACTTAAAACCAGAAAAACTGTATTAAGATATAAAATCTAGTTTTATTTATTTATTTATGTTAAAGATTTTATTTATTTATTTGACAGAGAGAGACACAGTGAGAGAGGGAACACAAGCAGGGTGAGTGGGAGAGGGAAAAGCAGGCTTCCCGCCCAGCAGGGAGCCCGATGCGGGGCTCGATCCCAGGACCCTGGGATCATGACCTAAGCCGAAGTGAAATCTAGTTTTAGAGGAGAGGCCACTGGGCGCCTGGGTGGCTTAGTCGGTTAAGCATCTGCCTTCGGCCTAAATCATGATCCCAGGGTCGTGGATTGAGCCCCGAATTGGGCTCTCTGCTCAGTGGGGAGTCTACTTCTCCCTCTGCCCCTCCCTCCAGCTTGTGTTCTGTCTCTTAAATAAATAAAATCTTTAAAAAAAATGAACTATTAGAGAAGAGGCTACTGATTAAAAAGGACTAATATGTCTGTTTGACTTATCTAAATGTTACGACTGTCAACAAGACTGAATGTAGTTAACTCTAGCTCAGCATTGCTTCTCTATGAGGACTAATCCAAGAAAGAATCCATGGAAAGCATTCAGAGACTACCAAACAATGCTAACAGGAAATGAACAAGAGAATTCACTTGGATGACAGAGATGGTTTGAGGCAGATTACTTTTTAATGTAACTTGTGGATTAATCTTATTAACAGGAAATACTTCAACTGCCTAATACTTCTGATTTCACCTACAACATGGGAAGGACCCTGATGGTCGTGAATATTATCGTTATAGGAAGAATTAAGATACCCTTAAATTTTCTCCCCTCCTGTGAAAATACAATCTATAGAATATGACTTAGAAATAAAAAATTAATGGGATGGACTCAGACTCAGCATGTCTTGACATTTTTGAATTTTTTTTACCTTGGCCTGGCAGGTTAACTGACCACAGCAGTTTATTCTATAGCAATATGGATTTTGCCAACATAATAAAATCCATGCAGTGTTTGAATGTTATAAACATGACTTACTTAGCTTAAACTTTTTAGATTAAAAAAAAAAAAAGGTAGCTTACTTTGCCAGAGTGGTGAGAAGTTAATTTACATATGGGAAAACAAATCTGGAACTTGGCTCTGAGCAATAGAGGTCTCCTCTATCTTTATTATTATCCCATTTCCAAAAGGAATTTGAGGTGAATTACAAAGATGTAGGGAAACAAAATGTAATAAAATCTGGAGGAAGGGAAAATAAACATCGAAAACAAAGGCAGGGTCTTAACATAGCCACATCGTAGTAAAATAAAAACCATGGTCCTACCTGTCACTGCAGATCCCCTACCAGGTCGGGCCTGATGAGGATACTCAACAGCACACAAATGATGATACTGTGTATCTGGCTGCAAAAGAGAAAAGATGACACACTTCTTATGATGTGACTTCTCCCAAAGAATAATATGTTAGTAGGTTTACAAGGAAAAACCTTGAAATCAGACAACCATGTAAATGGCATTGTCTGACAAGCTGAGGGACAAGTTGGCTGAGTACACTCTTGTATTTTCAGTAAAAAATTCCAAGCCAGAGGCCCACAAAACCATTTGTTAACTTGTAAAAAATTTTTAAGTTGTTTTTCTAACTTTAAGTTCTAAAACTTTATTAATATGTCTTCAAGAAAATCTTAGCACTTATAAAAAATGCATATGGTTTAATATTTAAATATTAAATTTAGAATATTATTCAGAATATTTAAATATTCTAAGCATTTTTAATTGGCTGCCAAGGGAATTTTATCTAATTTAGACTGTACTGTTTAAAACAACAGAATGGAGCCTTTTCAGCAACATTGAAATACGCATGACTTTACCTGCATACTTGAGATGTGACTCAATATGAAACATTTCAAAATTACCTCAAGGAATTTAAAGATTTTAAGACGTGGCTAAAATATTGAAATGCAAATATTAAAAAAAGCTGTCAATGCCATCCTGCTGGTGCTTCTGGAATAAAAAACATTCCTCTCCGTTCCCTGTCAGAGAACTGCTATCAAGAGATTTCAGGAATTTTTTTCTGGTGAAGCCCCATCTTTTTTTATTGGGGTCACCAAACTTCTTTTCTTTAGAGGGCCAGACAGTAAATATTTTAGGCTTTGTGGTACATACTGTTGCAACTACTCAACCCTGCTGTTGAGGTGGGAAAGCAGTCATAGACAGTACATACATGAATGAGTATGGCAGCTCTACTGTAATAAAACTTTATGTACAGAAACAGGCAATTTTTGTGATAAGCCAAGTGGCCCATAACAGTAGTTTGCTGACCCCTTTTCTAGGTGAGAACACCAAGGAGCAGAGCGCTAGTCTGGAAGTGCCAAGCCAGGGACTCGGATCTAGTGCGCTTAGTTACATTGAGCTACCAGCTCATCTCCCTTTGCGTGACAGCAAATTGGGAGAGAAATAGCTAAGGAATGAAATTCTTACTTTTGTTATAAACAGCAAAAAAGAAGAAGCTGAAATGTCTTCATCTGTTTAGTTTAATTGCTAAGGCAACCAAAAATTAAATGTGTTTTAGAGAATCTAGCTGTAGAATATAATCATCAAACACTGCATGCTCTGAATCAAATTTTGAGAAGATTAATAGAGGTTTTAAAGCTTTCTAGGATTCACATTGAGGAAGAATCAGAAATGCTCACATTCCCTTTAGCTCCTGTTTTGGTGAGTTGCCCCCTAAATAAAGCATCTTGAGGTCTGTTGAGTTGAATAGTGTCCCCCATCCCTTGCCCCCGCCAATATTCATGTCTACCTGGAACCCATGAATGTAACTTTATTTGGAAGTAGGATCTTTGCAGATGTAATCGAGATAAGATGAGGTCATATTAGATTAGGGTCAGCCATAAATTCAGTGATTGGTATCTTTATAAGAGGGAAGTTTGGACACAGATACACACAGGGAAGAAGGCTGTGTGAAGGCAGAGAAATTGGGAGTGATGTGGCTGCAAATCAAGGAGTACCAAGGATTGCTGGTGACCACCAGAAGCCAAGAAGAGATGAGAAAACATCCTTCCCTAGAGCCTGGAGAGGGAACATGGTTCTACTGACACCTTGATTTTGGACTTCTAGGCTCTGGAACTGATAGAATATTCTGTTTTAGGGGCGCCTGCATGGCTCAGTTGGTTAAGCGACTGCCTTCGGCTCAGGTCATGATCCTGGAGTCCTGGGATCGAGTCCCACATCCGGCTCCTGGCTCAGCGGGGAGCCTGCTTCTCCCTCTGACCCTCTCCCCTCTCATGCTGTTTCTCTGTCTCTCTCTTTCTCTCAAATAAATACATAAATACATAAATATCTTAGAATATTCTGTTTTAAGCCACCCGGTCTGTGGTGATTTGTTATGGTAGCCCTAGGACACTAATATACTGTCCCATTAATTTGTTCTCACCACTCTTTCAGTGGAGAATTGTATAGTGCTTTAGGCTGATACAATCAAGGTTTATAAGTTGGAATAAGTGGGCTTCAAATATCACCATCCTGAAAAG